TTTCATTTTAAGCACAAAGGAAGAGAAACATCATGAAAATACAAAAAAAGTCAAAGGGAATCAAGACCTAAAAGAAAGTTATCAAGATCATATCAATTAAATGGGGTAGCTAAGATGGTGAGCTTTTAGGAACATTTGTCAAAGTATGTATGAACACTTTTGAAGCTCATATCTAGGATCATACATTAATCACTTGCATGATAATCAAGAAACAAAGAATAAAAATCATCTATGAACTTAAAACATGTTTCTTAAAAGATAAGTTCCATTTCGGTCGACTGAAATGGAAGGACAACTTGAAACAGTCGACCGATCACATCAGTTGGTTTAGAGCAAAGTCTCAAGTTATTTTGGCCTACCGAAATAAAAGACTAAATCATTTCAACCTACCGAAATGAATTGATGAAAGACAATCTCTAGTTATTTTGGACAACTGAAATAGAATGACCATATAAATCGGTCGACCGATGATTCCAGTAGGTTTTCTAACAAGCTCCAGGTTATTTCAGACGACCGAAATAAAAGCCTCATCCATTTCGGCTGACCGAAGTAAAAAGGTAAAACTTAGCCTTAGGTTATTTCGGATGACCGAAACAAAGTGGAGTTTCCTCAGTCGACCAAACCTGCGCAGATTCAAATTTGAACGGCTATTTTTCCTCGAAGTGTGTGCCCAACAGCTAGAATACAGATTAGATACGACTGAAACTCTATATAATGAATTGTTTTCTTCATAGAAAGGTATTGCAACCACTGAGAATCATATCCATGCAATCATAGAACCTTTGTATCATCATTCACACACTTCATAGTCTTAAAAGAGTATTGAGCTTCAATTTATTCATACATACTCTAGAGTGAGCTAAAATTTGTACTACAGATCTGAGAGAGATTATATTGTACTTCATTTATCTTCTTCAAATCTTGTAAGGGCTGGTGTGCCCAAGGAAAACTAAGAGAAGGTATTTCTCTTAGCACTTTGAAGCAAGGAGGTGTTTCTTGTAAAATGTTTGCTCTCCACCTATACGGAGAAACCATAATGGATTGGGAAGTCTCAAGAGGGGTCTTGAGCTGAGGAGTAAGAGTTTCTGAACATCGCTAAAATTGCTAAGTATTTGTTTGTAATCTCTCCCTTTATCTCTTACATTTATTGCTTAAAGTTCAACTTGATTAATCTCTTGATAATTGCTGGTAGTTGTAGTTCAAAATTTAAATTGCTTTATTAAACTATTGTTGAGAAAGTTAGTCTTGTACTTGCAAATCAATTGAAATAAAAAATTGATCATTGTTTGCTAAGACTCTATTCACCCCCCTCTAGAGTCAATACTTGGGCAACAACCACAACTACAACTAGTGAAAAATAGTGAGTAGGGATCATCCGCAAGGATTATACGTGTTGGAATTTAATTTCAACTCTAATGTACCAATTGATTGCAAAGAGAGAGATTGGTTAATTAAACTAAGATGCAAGAAAATTAAAATGCAATTAAAATAAACTAAGTTGGTTAGGGATTTAATAGATGAGAAATGAGGTCTTGGGGTGCATTGGAATTGCCACTAAGCTTGTTCACCAAACCACACACTTTCAACTAATTTGGGGAAAACCTTCTTGTGAACGAAATACGACTACCAATTGCAATATTAAGTATGGACCATCAAATTCAATAATGTATTGTCTATCTAACCAACAAATAAATAAAGTGTAGAATAACCCATCAATTCTAAGCATAACCCATCAAACTAGTCACAATTGTAGCACACATCAATCTAGAGAATCATGAAATTTGCAATAATAAGCAATGGAATATCAAATCAAGTAAAGATTGTATACTTACCTACAAGCATGAATTAAATTATAGAACAACCCATTAAGCATAAGTATAATTCATCAAATTAATTGACTAACATATCTAATAAAAACCATGTCTAGCCATCACTAGATTCTCAATTAACCACAAATAGACATGCAATTAATATAGAAAACTAGTGTCGAGATCAATTCCCAAATAATCACACATAAGATAACATGTAATCATATAGAGAATCAATAGAAAGAATTAATCCATAGAAATCAAAGGAGAACCCAAGATTCATTAAATTCACAAGGCTAAAACACTAATCACAAGATATTATTCCCCAAAAAGTATGAAAGAGATAGAGATTTAGATTACAAACTTAGGGCTTATCCAAGCCCCAAGGAGAAGTCTAGCTAATCATGGAGGAGGTGGGTGTGATCTTGGAACCCTCAAGGTCAATCCCCAAACATGGCTCTATCTTCTTCCTCTTCTTCTTTGTTGAATTCTAGAGAGAGAATGTGTATAGACCTTGAGATGTGTTCTTGGTGCCTTTACTCTTCTCTTTTCTTCTAACCCTAATCTCTAACTTTTCTAGAGAGAGAATAAAATTACCATGAAAATAATATTAAAGACTAAAGATATATTACAAAATGGTTCAATTCCCCCTTTATAAATGGTCCTTGGAGTAGTGAACAAGTCAGAAAATAAGCCCTTAATATATCTAATCCCGCAACTATGTGGTAGGTGGAGTTCGGGCGCGCGGGAATAAAATAACTCGCTACCAGCACATTTTTGATCGATCCAAAATATCTTCGATCGATCAAACACTTAGCTTCGATTGATCGAAGCTGATGTGGCATTAAAAATATCTTCTAGGCCTCATCCACTTTGCTGAGCTGGCACCACCTCATTTCGATATATTGTAGAACTCTTCAATCGATCGGGATTCCCTTCGATCGATCGAAGCGTCTCTGGTGCATTTTTTTGGCTTCTTTCAAACTTTGCTCCTTAGCTCCAAAATTGGGCTAAATGGCTCTTGTTAGCCTGTTTGAACTTTATTAACCTGAAATAGGCAATAACACAAATAAGTATCTAAGACATGAAAGTAAGATAGATGAATGGACTAAAATACGCTAGCTTAGGTGCTAAAATGCATCACATTTGAGCACTCATCAGTGGTTTACTTTTCAACCACTATTTTGTCAAAAGCTGGCAAGGAAGGCAATTGGTCACAGGTTTGGGTGACCAAACGCAGGGTGTCATGCACGCATGCTGCGTGCACTGGATCCCAGGCGATGGCACTAGGCGATCGGTCTCCAACTGGGGTGACTGGTCGACCCGAAGATGACCTTGCTGTTTTTTGCATCTTTGTTAAACGCGTCTAGAATTTGGCTTAGCGACCGATCGCCAAGCCCATGTTATAAATGGGTGACCGGTCGCCAATTTAGGGTTGGACCAACTTTTTCTTTTGAGATTGATTTGTTGGCCTGGGATAGACGCATTGCTTGAAGTCCTGAAATTCCAATCTAACTCAATTTTGATGTTAAATGCCTGAAAATAGCAAAAGACACACAAATGGCATAAAAGTGTCAAATAATTAAAATTAAATAAATAACGTGCAAAAATAAGAGGGCTTGGATGTGAAACATTCGGTGCTTATCAAGCCACAGACAAAAGCAAGATCCATGGTTATGGTTGAAATCCGAAGCAAACAAAAGAGACGATGAAGATCAGAGATTAATATTAGTTCAGAAGCCAACAATAGAATAAATGATGCAAATTTGTGTTTACAAACGCCGAACAGTTAGATTGACAGGGATTGATTATATATATATAAACACACACATGCATAAACTGAGTCAAGCTCGAGCCCAAGCTTGTCCAAAAGTTGTCGAGCCGAGCCCAGTGTAGGGTTGGACCAACTTCTTCTTTTGAGATTGATTTATCGGCCTTGGATAGACGCATTGCTTGAAGTCCTGAAATTTCGATCTAACTCAAATTTGATGTTAAATGCCTGAAAATAGCAAAAAACACACAAATGGCATAAAAGTAAGAAATAAATAAAATTAAATAAATAACGTGCATAAATAAGAGGGCTTGGATGTGAAACATTCGACGCTTATCGAGCCACAGACAAAAGCAAGATCCATGGTTATGGTTGAAATCCGAAGCAAACAAAAGAGACGATGAAGATCAGAGATTATGCAAGTTCAGAAGCCAACAATGAAACAAATGATGCAAATTTGTGTCTACAAACGCCGAACAGTTAGATTTGCAGGGATTGATTATATATATATATAAAAACACACACACACATGCACGACTTGAGTCAAGCTTGAGCTCGAGCTTGTCCAAAAGTTATCGAGCCGAGTCCGAGCTTGGCTAGGATAAGCTTGTGCGAGCCCGAGTCGAGCCTAAACACTCCTCTGGCTTAGGAGAGTCGAACTTGAGCAGCCTAAAGCTTGGTTCGGCTCAGTTCATTTACACCCCAACCTCACATAGTGAATACATTATTTGCCACATCACTGGGCTTGCATAAATGGGTGTCAATAGTGGAGAAAAAATTAAATACCCCGGAAGTATGGTACCATGGGGCATCCCAACCCTTGGATGTGGTGGGACCCACCATCACATCTATGATCCAACGGCTCCCACTGTCCTGGGTACCGTACCCTCGGGGTATTTAATACTTTCTTGTCAACCGTGATAGTGTCGGTTTGCATAAAATGAAAATTTATTTTATTATTTCTAACATTTTCTTATTTATTTTTTTATTTGTTACATTTTCTTTTAATGTTTTTACAACATAAAAAAAATAAAATAATATGTGTCTATATTATAACGAATTTTAGTCCCGAATTTTTAATCCATACAACATATCCGTCTTTGAATTTTTACATATATATATATTTTTTTCAGCGTTTATTTTATAATTATTATTATTTTTTTTTATATAAAAAAATTGAATTGTACTCACGTTTCCTTTGTTTTTCAAAAAACCATATTTTACTAACGGAGAAGTTTTCTTCTTTTGTTTAATGTTGGATACAAAAATAACGTTTAGTACAATGTGAGGGGCAGACCAGTGGTGTGTTGAATTGACCAATTCGCAGTCCAACCTGGTTGCTTGTCGGGGCAGACGTGTGCTGTTTAGGCACCTTCCTTCCATTGTACTAGTTTTCGGACGCTAATGATTTGTTGTTGTTATTACATGGAAGAATAATAAACTTCTTAATAATAATATTATTATTAAAATTATATTTTGGCGCGGTCTGGTATTGGGAATCAGTTGGACTTTCACTTCCTCTTCTTTGACTTTTCTGGTCTAACCCGATCGATAACAAAACCCTACTCTTCCTCTTCGCTCCCTTTCTCTCATGTGTGTCAGATCCAATTCTTCCTTTATCTTCTTGCTCGTGAGTATCCTTCCCTTCCTCTTATACTATGTATATATATATGTGTGAATATGTTTCGGATTATTGTTTTTGAAATTTGATTTTTGGGGGTCGATGATCTCAAATGTTTGTGATTATTGTCTTAGCACTGCTGTTGAAATAATTAGCACTGTGTATGGAACTTTTTGATTTTGATATTTGTATCATCTTGATTTATAGCATAATCCCCTTTTATAATGTTCCTTAAAATTTGATAATCTCTCTCTCTAAATGAAAATTTTGGGTGAATTACAGTTTGTTGTCGGTGGACTGGAATTTAACTGCTGATTGCAACCAGAAATGATAGTAGTGGTGATAAAACTGAGCTGCTAAAACATCAGTTGTGGAGGAAGTCTTGCTTTTACACTGAACTACTCTTCCATTTTGTTGTTATTGGAAGCTTGCTAGTGAACTTTTGGACTATTCTCTTTTGAAGCATTTGTTTGTTCTGGTAAACAATGGGAGGGATATGTTCTAGGGCTTCTGTTTCTCAAAATAATAAGTCTTTATATGCCGGTGGCCGGGTTGATCATAATGGATCTGGTAGTGCGGGGTATCAGCGCAATGAGTTGCAAGCGAATAAGAAAATTAATTTGATGGAAAGCACAGAGAAACAAAAGCAGAGCAATTTCGTGCCTGCACAAACTGGGGAAAACATGGAGAAGCAATCACAAGAACTCAAGGAATCCATTATATATGGTGAGATGGACACAACTGGATACAGTAGCAATGAGGATGATTTTTATGATGGGATTCCGCGCTTTCCAAGGGCTTTATCTCGGAAATCTAGATCAATAAGGTCTAAGCAGGTAGGGGTCACAAAGGTACCATTTACTTTTTTTTTTATCCCTAGAGTTAATCAATTCTCTTTGTTACGAGGATCACCACAATCATTTAACTTCAATTGATCAGCGATTTGAAACATTCTCATGTGTTATTGAAAGTAGTTTCAGCTGATAAACGTGTTACCCAATGCTATTGACAAAGTCTAAGCTAAACAGTCTTTGAATTAGGGATGCAGCAAGAACTTAGTTGGTTTGCTATTGGGCAAGCATGTTGCCGTCAACACAGCTTCTGCCATGAATAATCTTATGCACATGTTATGTGGGAAACAATGACTCAAATGATCTATCCACACTGTTGAAGGATACCTTGATGCACCCACTTTTATACTTGCCTGTTGATATTTAATTCACACCTAGCTTGATAAAAGTTTGAAGCATTACCCAAAGTTATTTTTTGTCCAATAGTGCTCTGGGTATCCTGACTAAAACTAACACATTATATTTGATAAAGAGTATTCTAAGAGAATTTAGGCAGCAAATATTTATTTTTTTATTTTTTATTTCGTAAAATTTGAAACATAGTATAGGACTCTAGGTTGGATGGAATAGTTGACAAAAATTTGTTATTGCCAAAGAGAAATGTTCTCTAGTTTGTTTCATACTGTTGAAGGATATATATATTTAAGTTGCACCATCTCTAATAGCTTAAGTTTTTGGAGTAGATGGTTGTTAACATGGTACTGGAGCCAAAGGTCTCGAGTTCAAACCTCACTGTCACCCTAATTTAAAAATTGAAAAACACGCAGCCGCCGGGGGGGGGGGGGGGGGGGGGGGGGAGAGGAGAGGAGCCTAAGCTTTTGGAATAGATGATTGTTAACACATGCTGAAAGGTCTGAAATATAAACTTGTCAACTAGTGTCAGTTAAGCTATATGGCAGACTCCCCTTCTGCCATCAATATGCTCACTTGAATTTGTGTCAATTCATTGGGGCTTGATTGGGAACTAGTTGTAAGAAAATCTCAAAATTTTACAAGTTATTATATGATTTATAGAGCTTAATCTATATTATTGGGATTAAGTTATGCTGTTTCTATCTTTGTTTATTGACAAACTGATGTAGAATGCAAAGGCTGTGATACCAAACTGAGATAGGCTAGACTAACTGAGGGTGTAGAGAAGAGCAAGAATCGGAGGAAGAGGAAGAAGAAGGGGGGCAAGATCTTTGAGATTCACTAATATCAATTTATTCTCAATACTGAATCCAAAACACAAAATAGAACACAAGATCTTTGTTACATATATGCCTATTTATAGGCATAAAAATTTTTTCTTTACAACTAAGGAAACACAAAATATGTAAGAGAATATAATACACAAAAATTTCTCTATCAAATTCAAAAAATCTCTGCAAAAACATCATTGTAGCAGCCATAGCATCCTAATCTGATTGCAGCATTTAGGGTAGCCACCTACGCCTAGCATAGGTTCGTAGACCATCCTATGCTTTGCAAAACACTTTAAACACATGAATACTATTAATAGACCATTATGTACTTCTTCTGTAACGTCCCTCACCCTACCCGACACAATATTGTCCGCTTTTGGCTCCCCCAAACCAGAGACTTCTCAGGAGGTCACCCATTTGGTACTACTCCATTTTAAGCATGCTTAACTCTGGAGTTCTGATAAGTTCACGACCATTATGGCTTTAGAACATGTTGTGTCATAGAAGGATGATGAACCTACATATAACACTTCACTCTTCCACACCCAGATGATGTGGGAATTGTGAGCACATGCATCTCGCACCAGAGCGTTGCCTCTCACAGGCCTGCTCCCGCTCACCAAGCCTCAAAATTCCACCCCCCTTGGGAGCCCGACGTTCCCGTTGGCACACTTCCGGTTTGGTTAAGCTCTGATACCATTTGTAACAGCCCCACTCGACACAATATTATCCGCCTTTGGCTCCCCCAGACCAAAGGGATCGAAAAGCGGACAATATTGTGTCGGGTGGGGTTAGGGCTGTTACATCTTCTTTTCTCTCCACATGGAAAGAGCAAAGACCTTTTTTTCCCATTGCTTCTCTTCAATCTATGTGGCCATCTTGTCAAAATTCTATAATTTGCTTCACACATGCCTCTAATTTCATCATGCTAGGCTATGGTTCCACCCACTCCATGTATCGTTTGGTAACATCCACAAATAGAGTAATATAGTTTGCATCATAACATAGTGTCTCTAACTGGCCCGTCTCAATTGCGTCAATTTTAGAAGTCTAATTGGATGGTAGATTTGCACATTTTAATATATTCAACATTCTATCATTGTTCGATGTGGAAGGTACTGTTATGTACAAGCTACTAATCGGGATACCTACTTCTTACCTTTCGTTCTTCCTTTTGTTTATGAGTAAAATTTATCAAAATTTACTTTTTCACAACTGTGATAAAGGGCCGCCAAGACAAAATATATTCTTTGAGCAGCCAACCTCACATTCTTAACTTCAAATTTTCTCATTTTTGATCCTTGAGCCAATCTTGCTTACCAAATCCTTAAAAGTTCTTAAAGTTAAGATTCAGTTGTAATGTTGGGAAGCTCTTCTAAGAACAAAGTTGTAATAATTGAAGGGCTGAAAATCTTAACCATTAAACTATGGTCTTTAGACTTATTGATCCCGACTTTAGTTACAACCTCAATCATTTGTATCAGAACCTTACAATGGCATTGTGCAGATTTGAGCGGAAGAATTACATTAGCATTCACATGGATGAAAATCTGTCATGCTTGAATTTCCAACTTTTCCCAAGATTGTTATTGTTGGGAGAATATCATGATAGGAGTGATTTAAGCCTTGATAGAATATTGATAGGAGCGATTTATGGGATTGATTTTAGGAATTCTCAATATATGTATTTTCCATATTTATCACTTGTATTCTTTCGCCTATAAATAGAGTTGGTCATTGTAAACAAAACAAAGTGAAAATATAATAGAACTGATGTAGCCCTTTAGGCTTTGTGTGCCTTGGATGTAGGCCGTAGTGGACGAATCACGTATATCCTCGTGTTGTTTCATTCTTAATTTCTCTTTTCAATCTTTTATTTTTTCATCAACATCGCATCAGAGTAGGTTTTTCATACCCTACTTTAGACTCGTCTCGGATCTCCGGATCAATTTGTCTTGGATCTCTAGATCTATTCGTATTGGATCTCAGGATCTACTCATCTCAAATCTTCGGATCAACTTGTTTTGGATCTACTCACCTCAGATTCTCGACAACTTCGTATTTAGTGTCAATTTGGACACTTGATTAGGGGGGGCGGGGGAATCTTCGGATCAACTCGTTTTGGATCTACTCACCTCAGATTCTCGACAACTTTGTATTTAGTGTCAATTTGGACACTTGATTTAAAATCTCTGTGTACCAACTTGTGGTTGGGGGAGGGGGGGGGGGGGGGGGGGATTTTAGGAATCCTGTATTTTTCATATTTGTCACTTGTATTCTTTCATGGTTTGACCTATAAATAGAGATGGTCATTGTAAACAAAATAGAGAGAGAATATAATACAAGTGATGTAACCCTTTGGGCTTTGTGTGTTGTGGATGTAGGATGTAGGATGTAGTAGACAAACCATGTATATCCTTGTGTTGTTTCATTCTTAATTTCTATCTTCAATCTTTTTATTTTTATTTTTTTATCAATAGTTATCTCTTCCTATTTATAACATGGCCACATTTGCATACTGTATGGTTAATTGACCAATGACATAGATTTTTTTATATGTTGATAAGTTTTTTTGGTCTTTAGGTTCCATTTGTTTTGACGTAAAGGTCTTTTTCAGGTAAAATATATATTTTTTATTTTTATTTTTCAGTGTTTGGTAAAGGTCTAGGTTGAGGTTAAAGTCGAGTCCATCAGGAGGGGCATGTAAAATAGCTTGCCGAATTATAATGAATAAGTTATTTTTGTTAGGTTTTAATACATATATATTTTTCTTACATATTTTACTACAACCAAATACCAGAAAACACAGAAAATATTTTCTGAAAAATATTTTACACTCAAAACAAACGGAGCCTTAGTGAAATATTTTGTTTTGAGCAAGCTTAAAATAGAGTGACCCAAAATACAGTCCTAGTAATAGCTATGATACCTTTTAATACTGAAATGGCTTCGCAGAATAAATATGAATGAATTGGACTTGGAATACTCCTATTTTTTTTTTTTTTTTTTTTCATAGAGAAATATCTGATCAAGGATATAACAAGATCCATTTTTCATCATATCTAAGGGATTCCTTGATTCGGGCTGAAGAAGCAATGTCATTCCATCATTATCAAACTGACTGCAATTTTGTTCCATCCGTGAGGATCCCACCAGCACCTTCTACTTCCCATTCATGATCTAATGACTGATTCATCATGTCTTGAGATTTGTTGTATAAATTCCATTATTCTTTGTGCACAAAACTTTGCTTCCCTTTAGATGAGTAAAAAAGTTTTTAGTAGTCAACATTGTGGCATTTTTGAACTCAAAATTTCTGGTTTGATAGGAGACTGAGAAGTTAAGAAAGCTTGGTATTGAAATTTATATGATATTTCTCTCTCTCTCTCTCTAACTCCTAGCATGAAAAGGAAAGAAAATGATTTATCTTTGATGGACCTTTGGCACGCTGTCATGAAGTATGAAGATACACTGAACTTTTGGTTTAATTGACAGAATAGGATGGGGGTAAATTTAAATTTGATTTTCTATATCAAAATATCTAGTTTTGGATTCTAAAATAATTTAGAGGCAATTTTTTTTTTTTTTTTGATAAATAAATGTGGATAGAAACGAAAAAAGCGTTCAAAAGAGGAATACGTCCCATATACAAAAACAGAACCGAAATCTAAGGACCCAGAAGGTCCAAAAAATCTATGACATTATCATTAGAAGAACAATAACTTCCCTTCACCCAACTTAAAATGGAGCGAAGAATAAAAAGTTTTAGAGCCGCCGTGGACGATTCCTTTCCTTCAAATGGTCTGTTGTTCC